AGTACTAGCACCTGATATTTTCAGTCAGCCAATTGTTAAATTAATGAAAATTTGGAAAATGCTTTAATGACAAAAATGGCTCGATAGTGCCAAAGTCTGTCCTTAGAACTTCTGCGAAAAATAACAAATTCTTAACTTCCCTCAGTCTGACCTGGGGTGGCAATGGCAAAGCAACATTGTAACACCACTTTACTTGGAGAAGACTCTTGGCCTTTGCTTTCTCAGTACCCTTAAATAGAAATCTGCATTTAAATTATTTATTTGAGTGATGGGTGACCAAATAAACACCAGTTCCTCATGATAACGTATAGAAATGGGAATTGCAAGGCAGCCATCTGCTTTTGTGAAATGCTGTCACCAAGACAACTGACATTGTTTCCCGTTGGGAAACAGAGTAGTATTATGCATATTTCATATCCTTATGATATGAAATATTAATTATATGCATAAGTCTCTTAAAAGTCTCTTCATAGGCATAATAAACAATTGCTTACCCTGAAGTTGTGGACATCAGAGAAGTTGCAGCAAGCCTCTGACCTCAGGATGCTTTGGAGCTTCTCTGTTCCCGTGTGATGAGAAAGAGCATAAAGTATCCCTATGTGAAAAATGCAATAGAGGTTTAATATGGCTTCACTGGATTTGACTGTGTCTGGTATTGGTAAGCCACTGGGAATTCAATATAATAGAATCATAGAGTTGTTTGTGTTGGAAGGGACCTTAAAGATTATCTAGTTCCAACTCCCCTGCCACAGAAGGGACACCATCCACTAGACCAGGTTGCACAAAGCCCCATCAAACCCAGTCTTGAACACTTCCAGAGATGGGGCATCCACAACTTCTCTGGGCAACCTGTGCCAGTGCCTCATCACCCTCACAGTAAAGAATTCCTTCTTAATATCTAATATTAACCTTCCCTCTTTCAGTGTAAGTATCACAACTGACTCGGATATATTTAATTTTCAAAATATGCTGACTATTACACCATGTAATCTTGGTCAGTGTGTGGGATATATAGGAGTTTTGCCTTTTTCAATAGTTTCATGGGGTTTATTTGTGTGCTTGTTGTAACTGTTAACACTTCATCAGTGTTCTAGCAGTTCTGTGGGTAGGATTTGTAAAGTTTGGAACAGTTATTGATGCTGAGAATTTATACAGCAAGTGTGTCTAGTACTTTTCGAAGTTTTTGGTTAAATCAGTCATGATGATCAGGTGAACTGTACTGGTTGGTGTGGGCTCACTTTGTGGGTATTCTGGGCACTGCCATGTTTTAGGATTAGCCCTGCGGAGCAGCATTGTGGCAGGAAAGGGGTAATAAATGTATCCTTCACCTGCAATTCCAGATACCTTGGAGTTTATTCCAATATGATCAGCATTAAAGTGGTTAATAAAAATTAATTTAGCTAGTGTTTTGGGCCATTTACTTGTAGAAATAGGAAGGTCCCACTTTGTTGGCTTGCATTTTCCATGTTTTTCTCAAATTTTGGAGTGTCTGATGCTGCTACCAGAGAATCACTAGTACCGTTCTTACTCTCCCCTTTTGCACTTTGTAGCTGTGTGTTCTGTAGTGCTCAGCAGTGTATTCCTGGCGTTGAATTGTTGTTAAACATTTAGTCCAGATCACTTGTGCTATTATAGTACTAATTTTAGCCCATACAGTAATGTTTCAGATTCTTCCAAAAGAAAAGGAATCGATGTCTTGAATTTCTGTAATCTTTATAATACTCTTAAAAAAAGGTAGAATAATTATAGAAATACAGTATTGGATATTGGATATTATTGTTTAATTAGAAGAAAAGATCAGGCAGAAGAATGTTGCAGAAATAATACTTATTTTTAGATGGAATAACTTGTTAATTCCAGCATCTGCACATACACAGTCATCAGGGAGTTATTGGGCTACATGCGTTTTTTTGAAACATCTGTCAACTAAGCCAGAAAATCTAAATGCAAAGTGTTACATTGGTTATATTTTGGATTTCTTACATTTCCTAGTGGAATTTCATTTTGTATGCTAATCATTGCAGAGTATGGAGGTAAAAATAAGATAAAATTTGTGTGCATTTATCAGTTGTTTGGACAAATGTCTTGCCCCATTCTCCTTTAATTGTATTACAGCATCGAATATAAGCAAATATATGAGATTAAGTTGTATAATTTTTTTCTCAGGTATCCTGCTGTCAGCGTGGGAAGAAGTATGTCATGTACATGCTTTTTTTTTTTTTTTGTTTCCCAGTAAGGAAATAACAGGCTGTGGAGGGCCTTAAGTTACTCTGAACAGTTTCATGACATGTTGTTGCTGATTCCTACAGCAACACTGCAAAACTCATTTCTTTGTTTCTTTGACTACACTCCATTTGACAACATGCTTCACTGCAGAGCTCCTAGGTGCATTGTATTGACTGTCCTTGTTCAGTGTTACTGTGTTCAGTGTTACCTGGTATATAGAAATCATTCATGGGAAGCTAACTTGTGGGCTATGTAAGTGCGAGACTTTTAACGATTGCCTAAAACACAACATTAACATATTTCTAAGATATTGCTTTAGGCAGCTGTACCATTCCACACTGTTGACCTGAATTTGTGATATTGGACATTTTTGGTAAGTACTGTCAAGGATAATCCATCACAGGACAGGTTTCCAGAGTTTTAAGGTGTCTGTTAAACTCTTATAACTCAAATGTAGAAGTGTTTCACAAAACAGTATTTTACATTTCCAAGTTGAGTAACAGGTTTTCCAAGTAAGAAAATTGCTAGGGAGTCATTTCCAGAAGAATACAGGTGTCTTCAGTTAATGGCCTATGTGCTCCAGATGAGACTGGGATGCAGCTGCCTGTTGACTGAGGACCATATGTTTCTGTAGGTTGCATCATTAAGTCCCTCTCACTTCAGATTGGGGGTGGCCACAATTATACTGGAAAAACAAAAGGTGGAGTAAGCTTAGCAGTGCATATGGTGTTTAAAGATCTGTACTACTTTCAAATTGAGCACAGTTTTTGAAGTAATTTAGCCATTTAGACCTGTCTGCTGATCTCTTATGCATGTAGTCTCTCATGATTCATGTCCTTTTCTCTCCTGTTGTTCAACAGCTCTGTGAAGTCAAAGAGAATTGCTTTGTGTGGTTTGATATAGCTAATAAGATAGTCAGAGTGCTGAGGACCTTGAAACAACCCAAGAACTGTAGCTTGGCTTAAAAATCTCAGGATAAGTTATCTTGTTGATGGGGAAGCATTATGAAAGAAGCAAGTTCACTGAAGTACATTACTTAAGTAATGCTTAAAGCAGCTGTAGTTCATGCACGTGTTTCATATGGTTAAATACAGAGATAAATTGTGCACCCTTCTGTTTAACACTCAGTGTAAACTGAATACATAACTAAGTCTCCTGCATGCCTCAGGCATTTCTCTGTGTGCTGCATTATCTCAGCTTCACTCGTGCTTCTCTAGATTTAGACTGAAAGAGTATCACACAGCAGGGTGGTTTGTGGGACTCTGCAGTTTGGGTCTGCTGCTAAGCTGCAGGGCACCACCCTGTAACACCCCCATAAACTGCCTCTTGGAGGAAGGCCTTCATCTTCTTCATGTCATAGCCCATCACTTTGTAGATGTGGGTAAACAAGATGTTACTGATGTTCAACAGTATCAAATAGCACAAAGACCTCTAAAAGAGGAGGTGTGGACAAATTCATGTGCCCATGGATAGGCAGGATAATGGATGCATAGGGATGGATACCAAAATAAAATGACAGTGTGTTGTAAGATACCGGATCTAAGAAATGTAGTAGGGAAATTGTTGGGATTTGGCTTTTGCTTGTTCTCATGAATGGTAGCTCTTAGTGCTGCTGCTTAAGCTGAGGTAGTTGTTCACTTAAGATGTAACATTTTCAGATTTTTTGAGGACTATTACTTTTTCTAGGTTGAGCGAGAACTTCCTGTCGACTGAAGAGTGTTGACACACAGTGGTCCTAAATATAGTGGGAAGTACTGTTTCCTGAGAGGGAATAGAGGCAGCTCTGGTGTATGAAACCACATATACAGTCTGGAAGAGTTACGTAAGGACACGGCTGTTTGCAGAGCAGAGGCTTGCTGCTACAATTAAGGCTGCTTTACACTCCTTACACTACAGCCATTGTAGCCATTAAAGAATAGCACTGAAATATGATTCCCACCCCCCTAATAATGCATAAAGTTTCCAGCTTGCTGCTTCTCTTTTCCCTGTTTTCCTGAGAGTGGTGATGGTTTTGTATGTGGCAGGGACATGGAGAAATACAAATGGGGGATAGCTGCAGTAAATTTGAAACAACTTTTTTGGCAGCATTCTTGGAGTTTGGACAAGCACGAGGTATTTGAACATATCCACTGATGGACATGTTTGTATGCAACATGTTTTTTCATTGGGTCTGATAAAAGTAATAGAACTTCAGGCTTGTCCATCCTATGTTTCTTACACAAGGATGATTATCCACCATAATGCAAACTGTATGTGATGTTTGGAGATTACAGATGTAATGAATAGATTTAAAAGTGATAACATTTATCCATTGTATGATTTCTTTTTTCCCTTCTGGCCCCCTCTAAGCATTCCTTGCTCTCTTCCTCATCCATCCGATGAATCACTTTAATCCTCATCACTCATTGTTTGCCTGCAACTCTACATTTCCTTCTCCAGTCTCCTCATCCTCTTTCTTTTTTTTCTTTCTGCTCTGCCACCTTCTTTTCATTTCATTTTTCTTTCCTCTTTACTCATTTTTGAGTCTATTTTTTTTCAGTTTTCCACATCTGTACCTGCTCTAGTTTTTTCCTTCATTTTACAGAGTTTTTTCTCTGTTTGATCTCACCTCTCATTTTCTCTTCTGATTGTTTGCCTCGCACTCTGTCTGCTCAACCTGTCTAGAGGACTAACTTGTTAAAAGGTTTAAAGAGAAAATCGCTTTGCTCTGAATAGATCTTCATTTAATGATTGCCATGTGCTTTTTTAATAAGATATTTTTTATATTATTTCAGGTCTTAAAAATTAGCTTGATTGGCCACCGGAAGCGCATTCTGGCATCTCTGGGAGACAGGCTTCACGAAGATCCTCCTCAGAAACCACCTCGGTCAATAACCCTCAGGGTGAGTCCCCATGAAAATTTGTTTGCATTTCTCAACAAGTCGGCAAGCATTTCATAACACTCACATGAAAACAATGTCTGCTCTTAGTGGGGTTCAATTTACCTCACTTCAGAGGTGTAGAGTGTAGACATTTTAGGCTGACCTGCTCAGTCACACCTCCCCATATAGCCAGCAGAGATAAACTGACATTTTTACAGGGTGATTCATCTGACCTGTTTCAGATGTCCGCCTTAGGATAAGTAGTATCTTAGAAGTGCCAGCTTATCTTTGCTCAAGAAACTATCTCAGAACCAGGTGTGTACAAGCTGCACGTCTACATTTGCCCACAGGAATCCCAGCCCAACCCAGCCAATCAATACTGCAGAAGGAGAGTTACTGTTTTCCTTTTATGTTTTCGAAGGCTTACACTTACTTTTCGGACATATGCTTCAGGCTGTCTTTAAGGAGAACCTCTTCAAATTGTTGATATAAATGCCATTAAGATGTTTCTGTATATCAAAAGTTTCATCATGTTTTTAATTTTCATTTATATTCCCACTTTCAGAAACCTCATTGAAATGTCCCTGGGTTTTTTCCATACTTGACCACATTTAATCTCCTCTCATTACACCACCTTCACTCAGTTTCTCCAATCTAATGCCTTTGCTTACTTGCTGTCTGCTACTCTTATCAAGTTGTGGTCTGATGACCAATTCCTACTGTGTTCTCTCCAAGGGAGTTCATAGCAACTCTTTTTATTTTGGTATTTTAGGTCACACCTTTTGCATTTGATTGGATCTGATTATTTTTATGAGGCTGCATTTATGACTGAAATCTCATTTAGGATTAAATTTAAAAATGTCAGAGAGTGTCAGTACTCCCAAGTTAAATTTCCTGGTGTAAAGAGAAATACAGAAAGACAGAATGAGGGCTTATTTTCAAGTGCATATAAAATTTCTGTGACCAGCCGATTTTCACCCTGCTTATTCTCAGATGCCCCATACAGACATTTTAGATCCCACCCCTTAATTCAATGCCATATTAAAAAGGTCTGACAAGTCTATAATGTGCTTTAAGGCACATTGCACATACGTGTGAATGTTTTCCTCGTACTTTGTTTTTTATGTATTATGTGAATGATTCCTGATGCATGACAGGTGTTAAAACACTCCGAGGAAAGAGAAATATATTGCAAGGCACATTTTTTTCTCAGTACCTTCAGTACTCTGGACTGGAGAATCTATTCCTCTTCAGCAGGAGGGAAAGTTTCCACAGCCCACATTCTTGGTCAGAACTGTATATTCTCAGTTAATACTGAAGAGAAAACTGGATGTCCTCCATCTGTGGTCAAGGTGATAAAAAGTATCTGCTGTGCCACAGCAGGAGCTACTGATGCGGGCCAGTGCTAAATGTCATTTATCACCTCTTGGTACTAGAGTCTTCACAGAGAATCCTAAAGAGGAGGACATGCATTTGAAATAAAGGGGTTTTTCCCATCAACTACTTCTATGCCATTTTGCACAAAAGAAAGACATAGTGTTTAGTTTGTAGTCTGCAATAGTTTGTAGCTCAAAAATTAGTTTAAATAAACTGTCTGCTGCTGCTAGAAGATTGATTTATTTAGAATCATAGAGTGGTTTGGATCGGAAGGGATATTAAAGATCATATAGTTTCAACCCTCTTTACCATGGGCAGGGACACTTTCCCCTAGATCAGGCTGCTCTAGATCAGAAGGAAAGGTAGTTTGTTATTTAAAGAGTCTACTTTTAAGGTCCCAAGCTTAACTTAAGCAATGCTAATGCTTCGTCTTTTTTGACTGTTTTTGTATTAGCTTTTAAAATATTTCAAAGGAAAAGGTTGAATTTTGAGGGAAAGAAAAAAATATATCCACAAAATATGTTATTCCCACAGTAACTGTGTACTAAGGAAAAGTTATTTTGATTCAAAGTCATATATTCAAAAGTATAGTAATTGCTGGATCTCAGTTTACCTATGTAATCTTGCTGTCCTTCTTTGAGTGCGTGATAATCTTTAATTACAGAACCAGTTTCCACGTTATTCAGGGAAGCCTGTCCGCACCCAGTCAGCAATGGAGGCTAGAATTTAAACTGAAAGACCAACAATTTAGGCAGAAAATTTGGAGAAGGGTTACAACGCAAGATAAATTCACTAGAGAGAATTCCAGTTTTTAGGAACTGGTTAGACAAACATATGTGGGACATGAGGTATGCCCAGGCAGCTTGGAGAAAGATCTCTTAAGCTCCCTTCCAGCCCTGACCTTTGTGTTTCTAGGTTTACATGACTGATAGGTGGGGATGAAACAGCTTTTGAAAGTGAGATATATGATCAGACATCCCTTCAGGTCATATATCCTTGCGTTCACAGCCGAGTAGAAACATGATATGAATACCTGGTGACTAACAGTAGCATGGTACTGAGGCCATGGTAGCACCTGCAAGGGTGTCCATGTTGGTCTGCAGGTTTGTTAAGGAGAGGAGAAGGTGAGTATGGAGTGAGGATGTGAAATGAAGGAAAAATGGGATAGAGGCTCATGATTAAAGGAAAAGCTGTACCTATGAAAATACAGATTTACACCTGCTTTTGCCACAAAAGCCTTGGATAATACTTGGGATGTTATTTTGTTAATTGCCTCATAAACAGTCACTAACTGTATGTTACCAACATTCCGCATATTTGACTGGAGTCTGGAGTCTGGATTATGCTAGTCCTGAGCACACAGTGCTACAAATTACATCAACAAAGCAGTGGAGTTTGGAATACAAGCACTTGGAAAATCAGGCAGTAGATGTTCTAATTGGTCATCCAAGGTGACTGATACTTTTTAAACGTTGTGTGTCTCAGGTCACCCACACTAAAGTGGTGGTTATAAAATTCCAGAAGTCACAGGGCGTGGTGAAAATTAGTTGATTGACATTTGTAAAGCACTTATGAGCATCATGAATATGACAGTATTAATCATCCTATCTTCAGAGCAGGATGCGAATAGAGTTTAAGGAAAGGGGTTTGGTGCCATGAAACGAGGTGAGAATAAAATACTGACTACACAATAACTAATGATAACACAGTGCTGAGTATATGACAATATGCTGCACAGTCGAGGATCCATCTGTGCTGTGAAGGACGACTGTGAGAAAATAGCATAAAATTGTAGAATTACATACTGTTCCAGAATGCAGAGGCATGATAATTCTTTTATTTCTTGACTTGGTATTTCTTGTCTGCCTTGCCTTGCCAGCAACCTTCCAATATAGATCTCAGAGTGAACTTCCTCTTTATATGCAATTTGATAAAATATGAAAAGCTCAACAAGAGCTAGAATCTACATGTTCATTGCATGGTCATCTGTCTCTTTGATGTCTTGACAACCCTATCAGTCCAATATCAGTGGGTGAATCATGATTTGGAGCAGAGAGGGGTTATGTACCTGTCTGAAGCAGCAGGTAGCAGTCAGTAAAGAGGATCTTGTTTGGTGCCCCTGTACTCAGGTTATTTCCATGGCAGAGGGTGTACACCCATCCTGTCAGGCCCAGGGAGGGTAGGTTTTACAGATTATGCCCCACCAAACCTCCTGAGCATGTGCAGAATACCGCTTTTCAGAAGCTTGTAACTGGGCCAAATGTAGGTGGATTTTTGTGAAGGAGGGAAAAGACTATTCCTAAGAGGAAAGCACTCTTTTCTTTGCCCTGGGAAATGTCAAGTGCTTGTCTCAGATCATAGGAAAGCTAGAGAATGTTTTTAAAAATCCAAGATAATAAAAAATTGCTTAACTATATTTCCCTATATTTGTTCTTGTTGGTTGACTAGAGCCAAAATGAAAAATACTAATCCATTACTATCATTGCAAGGAATAGTGTCTCATGGACTCCCACACTTGAAATGCCAACATCAGGTGTTACTATGACTTGAAACCCTTTGCTTTCCATTTGGAAGAGATTATTACTCTATGATTTCTTACACCAGATCTTGTTTCTTAACAGCATGGAGTAAAGTACCTTGTTGTTTTTCAGAATTAGGCTTGCTTCAACCTAATCATTCATGACTCATTCAATTTAATTCTCTCTTTAAAAAGGCAGAACTTTTTACCCTCCATGCACACTGGTGCAGGTTTTTGCTTCCTCTGATGTTTTCAGGTCCCCTCTTGTTGCTCAGTATTAAAATACAGTATTACAGCAACAGGTGATTTAGAGAAAGTCTGCACTGTGCAAACATGCTGCTGGGTACATTCTGCCTCCAAAGAACTTGCTATCAGAGAAATTGCATGTGTCAGATAAATTGAGCCCAGTAACCTACATCATGAGAGGGGAATGTTTCCCCATTCAGTTGCTAAGGCAATATTTTACTGCCCGCACTGGGGTGGCACCAATGCAGACTGTCTGGACAGTAGGCTGTAGGTCTCTGCTCCTTCTGGTGGATCTCCAAGAGTGTTGAACAGCAGAGCAGGGCACTGATGTTTGTAGTTGGTGTTTGAACAAGTGATGTGATGTGCATGAGAATAGGTGTTTCCAAACATACAAATGGTGGCTACAAATGAGCAATGTGGTAGCAGATTCTGGTAAAACATATGATCAGGAGGACCTGTTTACCTATTTATTAGATAGAGTTTATGTATCAATTCAGTGTGGTATTTGCGCACTGACTGATACAAGGTTACAGTTCATCATAGATAACAAGAAAAGGCCAGTAAAATATTTGTACTCTGATGCTTTCGTGCATTCTAGGAATTGCTACTTAGCTTGTGTCTGATATCTGATACTTCAAGTTAAAATGGATGTTCTGCAAAACCTATAAAAATTGCAACAAAGTGTCTATACTGTGTAAATGGACATGCATTTCTTTTTTCCAGCAAGAGATGTTGCTAGAGTTCAAATCACTTTCAAATCACTTCCACTGCTCAGAGCGGCTGCTCAGAAGTGGTGAGAATGTATTTCATCTTACAAATAGCTAGTCCTAAATCATGGCTTTATTTGGGCCTTGACATGAAGTAACTCACTTCTTTATCTCTCCAGCTGTCCTAGAAGGGAGTATAGATTGCACAAGGAGGTTTTAGAGAGGAATTTTGCCACTAGTTTGTGTAAATAGTGAATTATTTTTCCTTCCACGCAGGCTCAGCACCTTAGGTAGCAAATCTCAAAAGTTCATCCACAGTAACCTCTACTGCGGGAATTGTTCTGTATTTTTTTAGTGTTAGCCATTCAAATATGCTTTTAAATGTGTAGTTTGAAGTCAGTAATATGCTGTTCTTATGCTGCATTTTTTCTCTCTGTCCAGGAACCCAGCGGTAACCACACTCCTCCTCAGTTGTCTCCATCACTTAGCCAAAGCACTTTCACTACTGGTGGCTCCCTGGACGTTCCCCACATTATCATGCAGGGCGATGCAAGGAGAAGAAGAAATGAAAACTATTTTGATGATATTCCCCGGTCAAAGCTGGAGAGGCAGATGGCACAGGTAGGACTAAAACAGTGCTGTTAAAAGCTGCGCCCTGCTGCATTTGCTTACAGAACTAATCCTGACCAGATTATGAAATTTGAATTGTAAGCGATAAAGGTTGACAATTTTTCCAAGCTATCTGTTCCAGCTCTCTATACTTCAAATAGTGTAAGCTGGTGTATTGGTGCATAATTTCTCCCGAGAGGGGGAGTTTTGGGGGTCTTTAGGTGCCCGGAGGCTGAGATGAAGGTGGCTTCTGCACACCAGAGCATACAGTCTTCCCCCTACATTGACTCTGCCTCTTGTTCCTGTAAGAAGGTGCAGATTCCTCAACTTCTGAGCTACCTAGATAAAAATAAGCTGACATCAGTTCACTGCCAGAAACTCAGAGGACTTGGAGGGTGGTGATTGCTGCGTTTATTAATGGAGAGGGTCATCATTCTGCAAAACTCTGTGATCTGGAGATATGTCTTGAGTGTTCAAAAAAAGATTTAATGGTGCAAAAATTCATTTGAGCATCACAACAGCGCTGGACTGAACTAGATGTTAAATCAAACTGTTCATGGAAGAAAACTTAAAATAGTCTCCACCTCTAAATTTTTTTCATCCAATCTCTGAAAGACTACTGATAATTTTAAGTTAAGTATATATTGACCACAGTGATGCCTTAGAATCATAGAACCACTTGGGATGAAAAAGACCCTTAAGGTCATCAACTCCAACCATTAGCCTAGCATTGCCGTGTTCACTACTAAACCATGTCCCCAAGGGTCACACCTACACATTTTTTAACACTTCCAGGGATGATGATTCCACCACCCCTTGCACAACTCTTTCCAATGCCTGCCACTGTTTCAGCGAGGAAGCTTCTCCTGATATCCAGTCTAAAGGACAGATAATTATGCATGGACAACCTATTGGTAAAAATGCTTTAGAATGAACTCAGCTGGTTTTTGATGGTACCTATGATGAAAGACAGCCAGGTCTTAATTTGCTGTGTTGGAAATAGGGCTTTGATTTGCCGTCAGAAGCAGATGGGCAGCCAGGGCAGCTCCTGGAGCGACTCACTCCATGAAGGAGCAGGTTGCTGCATGCTACCCTGCATGAGGCTTCCCAGCAGTGGCTCTGCCTGCCACAGTCCAAAATAGAGCTTCTGTCCAAAATTCAAGCTCAAAGTGGAAACAGCTATGCAAATAATTGTGTTATAATGAACAAAAGGCTGCAGTCTGTCAGCTAATTGCATGAACAAGAAGTAATTAAATAAACAAAGAAAACAAGGTGCTGCCATTACCTGGGAACACAGAAACAAATTGAATTCCATTTGTTCAGAGGACGTTTCTAGAGAAGTGAAATTGCATTTGTTTGGGTGGGCCTGTTGCCTTTTCTTTTTTTAATCTCCTAATTTTCTGCTATATAATTTTATTGTACAGAATTAAGGAGAAAGTTGCCGAGTGAATGAGCTTGTTTCCAAACCAAAGTCTGCTGGGCTTCTGTGACAAGAACAAGGTTGAGCTGAAGTCCAGCAAAGAAAAGCCGAGTTCTTAACATGAAAATATTTCTTTGAAGGTTATGAAATTTAGGTGTTTGAGCATAAAATGCATGCTTGCTCATGGCTGAGTAGACTGGTTTATCTACTTAGTTCATTTTATTCCTTCATTCACAAATCCCTATTCTCACTTCCTCTTTTAGTCACTAATATTGAAGACAAAAAAAATCTAACAAACCAAAACAACACAAAGACCCCAGGCTAACTGTTCATTCTGTCTCCATTTTACTCTTTTCTTTTACTGTTTGAGGTCCTGATATTACCAAGAGGTATGACATACTCTCATATATGATACCTGGAGATTTTCTCTGTGCTGTTAAATACTGCATTTTCAGAAGGACTGTGATATGTTGCATGTCCAAAGAGAAAATTGAGAAGTTATTATTTGCACCACTCCAAACTGCTTTAAAACCAATTAAGTGCTGGGATTATTTTTGTTGTTGTTGTTGTGAGACTGTGTACCCACTGAATTAAAGACTTCAATGCCTTCTGTCTAACTTTAACCATGGAATATATCAGTCATCCTTTGGGACTCCAAAAGGGAAATGGATTCAGATTAAATCCATAAAACAGTGTCTTGTGTTAGTCCCTGAACTCCAGTCTGTTTGAAGTCTTTCTCAGCTCTGCCCCCAAATTCTGCATTCCTGATGTATGTAAAATTCTCTTTGACTTTAATGGAAAAGTCAATGACTCCCTCTGGTGATCATTCTCAATAAATTGGACTCACCCCATTAAGAGGCTAATCAGGGATTTCTTCAACCATTCAAGCCCAAAAATAGATTCTTAATTTTATTTTTTGCAATATGTGCTTTGCTAAAATGATATTTCCTTCAATCTTTTCCCCCAAAGCTCCCTTGAAATTTAAGGTAAAATAATTGTTTCTGAAAAATATAGGAGATCCAACTGATTCTTAACATAAACCTTCTACTCTGTGTGTTTGTTTTTTGGTTTCATTTTTCTTTATCTAGCAACTTTCTCCTTGCAGTTTACCGGTTCCTTTGGCGTGTGTCAGATCAACAGCAACTTCAGAACTGATACAGGGCCTGCTTTCCAGCTAGAATACTTCTCACAAACACAGTGAACTAGAGGGATTATTGGAATTGCTTTGAGGATATTCTTTGTCTTAACCCTCTCTTTGCTAGGCTGTTTGCATGCTGCTGTGTGGATCTGCACGTTTACTGGATGCTATAGTACACAAACATGCATAAAGGCATCTTGTATGCTGTGATGTTTTGAACGTGGTTTTGGTGTATTCTTGATGATGAGATTAATGGGCGTTTTTATGGCCTCAAAGAGAGAGGCCAACACAGTGTTGAGACCTTATCCGTTGTATAACTTCATGAACTTAATTTCATTTCAAAAATGCTAGAATAAAACTATTTTTAGCCTCAATTTAAAATCTAAAATCTGAAGGTACTTTGATGAAATGGTGAGATTGCATGTTTCCATCTTTACTATGGTCTGTGTTCTCACTAAACTGGGAGTCATCAAGCATGTTGATCTTTGCATCAGTCAACCAGTGTTCATTAAACAACAAGCACAACAGTTTAAATCTGTTTTCCTTTGATCTGCTAGATGGGTTTAAACAGTTCCCTAAACCATAATCATGGTTGTAAGTAATACAACTCTGTTTCCTGGAGGAGGCACTGATTTAAATTCACTTCATGTGGGTGGTTTTGTCTGAAGGCCAGCACGTACCTTCATTCGCAGTTCCCTAGCAGACTGTATGTGACCTAAGAGGGGAAAATCTTAATATAAACAATGAGTCTAACCAATTTAGATTCTCCGGTGTGGATGACCAAATATGATTTGGTCATCCAACCCTCCAGTTGGTCATCCAGCTCTGAAAGTCTTTGATATCTGGTTTTATAAATCACAACTGCCAAAATAGTAATACAGAAGGTTGTGAGGTGGTTTATTTAAAAAAAAAAAAAAAGAGAGAGAGAAATGCAGAAAGGAATGAGTAGTCTGAGTTATCCTTGACTGTGGATGTTGAATTTTGAGCCTGCAAACTGTAGGTTAGCATGGTCAAAATAACGTAGTTCAAAATAGCTGAGGTTGTTCTTAAGATTGCCTAAACCTTTAAAATAGAAATGAAATCATACAGACAAATCCTGAGTACTTTGGAACCAAAATCAATAGGAGGAGTCCCATTGAAGGGATTGGGCTCTTCATTCAACCCTGAAATACTTGCTGGGAAGAACTGTGGAGGTTAAAAGGAATCATAGCTGAGTTCTTTAAAATGCAGCAGTTAAAATGTCACAACTTTAGGATTTGCAATTCTCTAGGCAGCAGAGAAGCTTTAGGTACTAGGTGCAAACATATTCCAGACTGCCAGTCCTGAGGTTGTGACTATTTATTGCGCCAGCCTGTGACATACGGCGCTTTTAGCCACCATGGTCCATCAGACCTCTTGCTGTTCAGAGCGGTACACCCTGCCCCTAGCCAGGACCAAGGGCCAAAACCACCTTTCTTGTGGCAGGGAGGTGTGGGAAGCACCCTGCCCATGCAGAAGCTGAGTTGGGACGGGCATCGCCCTGATGCTTACACACACTCTCTCCATGGTGCTGAACCTGCAGTGCGCCCCGAGATGGAAGAGGTCTGTGATTTTGGGAGGCAGTGGCAGGTGCCTCTAGGACTCTGGCGAAAGCTCCAGCCAGTGTCTGTCTCTGGGAGGACAAATTGGTAATGAGTCAAAGTAAGCTTTCTAGTAGTGTAAACCTAGCTGTGGCCCATATGGGGAGCACCACGGTGGACTTTGATGGAAGGAAGAGATCTTTTAAGGTCTGAGAGGGTTGGAAAAATTGTTCACAAGGGCTGGCAGGAGAAGTTCTTTCACAGAGATGCTGAACTCAGACTTGATTTTGAAAGCCTTTCTTGATTCTTTGGTCCCATGGCCTGAGGACGCTTTCTTTTTCCCCCTTTTTTTTCCTTGCTAAAACACAAGATAACTTAAGTGAAGTGTCACTGTAATGACTACATAGTAAGTTTGAAGTAAAGCTATCCCAATTGTTGGGATTCTGCATTTAACATTATTTTGTAAGATATAATAATTCATTACTGGGTTAGGATTGATATACAGGGGACGATCATTTAAATGGATTTAGTACAATAGATCCTCTGTCTACAGTAGAGGAAAAGTATAGTAAAAACAAAGGATGGAATTAGTAAAGGCAGGTTTATATTAAAATTATGAAATAGTTTTGCTTCTTTCTGAAATAATACCTTCAACTAAATAATATCTTCCAAATACTTCACAGATACTAATGCATTTGTATTTCCAGTGCACTGTTGGGCTGTGTGGTTTAAAATCATGTTTTCCATTTGACAGCTAATAAAACTGAGGTATAGGGATGTTGCAGGTTGAGTAAGGTGACACAGAAAGTTTGAAGGAGCTGAAAATTAATAACTCATATTTAGTTTTGTAACTTTTAACCACAGTGTGAATTCTTTTTATTTACTTGCTTCCTGT